CCCCCCTCCCCGCCCCGCGGCGCGCGCGGTGCAGTGCGCATGCGTGTGGGGAGAGGGCGCCGCTGGGGGCTGCGGGGCAGCGCCGCGCGCGCGAGAGGCGGCGGGACGACAAAAAACGCCGGAAAGCGGCAAAAAACGCTTASAACGGTAAGAACGTGGGGTTTTAACAGAAATGAAGAAAAAATTTGCTTCCCTGACCGGGAATCGAACCCGGGCCGCGGCGGTGAGAGCGCCGAATCCTAACCACTAGACCACCAGGGAGGTCTGGAGAAGTGCGTCGGGCGCACGGCTCGTCAGGAGCCGCGCGCGGCCCCGGCGCGGCCGCAGCGCCCCCTAGCGGCGGGGAGGGGCGCGGCAGGCGCTGCGGGGRGTGGTCCGTGGGGGGTGGTCCGTGGGGCTGCAGCAGAATCTGTGGGGCTGCAGGGAGGTCTGCGGACTTGCAGCAGGATCGGTGGGGGCTGCAGCGGGGCATAGGGTGGCAGCAGCTGCAGCACACGTGCCTGGGGTCTTGCCCACGAAGCCGGGGCTGCTGCGCTGCTGGTGCAGATTCCTTTAAATGAGATTTTTGCAGCCCCCTCCCCAGGGCAGCGCTGCAGGCAGCCTCRTCCCACGCGTCCCCAGGGGCTCGTGCTGGCCCAGGGCCGCAGGCAGCCAGCAGCGTTCCCGCTCCTGCCTCTGACTCACGACGTTCCAGGGAAACAAACAGGGGATGACAAAGCCGGTGCTGCTGGAGTGCCGCTGCGGGCTGCGTCACCCCCGGCCCTGCCCCATCCTTGCTCCCACTGCAGCTCCCGGTGCTGCTCCCCAGGGAGCGGTGCTGATGCTCCCACATGGATCTCACAGCTGGGGATCCTGCAATGCAGAGAGGCTGGACTCACCCCAGCCCCGTGCAGGAGCCAGCCACAGACCCCAGGTCAGGCTGGGAGGAGGCCAGGAGCTGCTGTCCRTAGCCCAAGGCTGGACTCATTTCCCAGGAAGGAACAGGGCTGTTCTCCCTCTGGCTGCTATCTCCAGCCCGCTGCCCCATGGGGATCCACAGGGTCCCAGTGCCGGCAGCAGTTGTGCAACTCCTGTTGCATGCATAAACATCAAATCCCTTCCCAATAAATAAATAGGTATCTCCTACTAGCAAGGCAAAAATGCTTCCTTATATGTCTTTGCAATCAATTGCTTTTTAATTTCCGYTCTTAGCTGCTTGTTCTGCTTTGGGGGATGGAACAGCCCACTTGCCCACCACTGTCCCTAGAGCTTGCTCGCCCTCGCCCTTCGCTCCAGGGAAGTTTCCCTGTGCCATCACGGGTGATTTGGGTACTCCCCTCACCTACTCCCCTCTACCGTTTTGCAGCGCTGTTTCAATGGGTAGTGAATGCCCCGTAGCATCCAAGGCCCTGGGGCAGCACACTAAACCCCGGCCAGCAGCACAGCTGCTCCYTTTTCCCATTAGGAGTTTCTCAGGCATTGGTTGCAGCTGCCAAGGTCACTGCACAAGCACAGCGACACACCACTGACCAAAACAGGGTGTGAGGAAGGAGGTACAAGCACAGCCTTGCTCGGAGGAAACACATGGGGCTACATTGCCCCCCACTGTAGTGCRCACAGAGCATACCTGTCAGAAGCAGGTGGTGTTTTACTACTCAAACAGGAAATACCAGATAATGGAAACACTATTTAATGCATTATGGAAAAAAATTCCAGAGATCCAACAAAGCAACAAGCCTGAGAGGGGCATTTCCTACCACAGCTTACCGTCGGTTGCTGGCAGTTGCCCACTGCATTCAAACAGCTACAGAGAGATTTCAGTGCTGTTAARTGAGACAAAAATGCAGCCACCCCCTTTTCTCCCAAAGGAATGCTTTATTGATACTTTTCCTCTGTATTTATCTGCAAAGAGGAACAGTTCAATACCCAAGCTCCAGCAGTACCCACGTCGCYGACACCGCTCCTTGCACGGACGCTGGTTTTTGTCACAAACAAGGAAACCCGGTAAGTGACACTCTACACTCCACCTACTGCCTGGCACATCTGCCCTCGAGGACTCCAGCCTGTGCCCAGACCTGAGGAGGGAGGGGAGCCAAAGGGAACTGAAATTAATTAGGAGACAAGTGCCCAAACTTGCTTCTCTAGAGAAGGGACAGTCCCCCCAGAGCAAGGACCACTAAAACTACTCAGATATGTATATAAACAAGTCTAAAGACCTGAGTAAGCCCCATTTCGCCTCTAAGGCACAGAATTACTCACTCCAGGTATTTCTGATGTGGAGGCACCTCACCTAGAATAAGATCAGGCCTCTATAGGAAAACTTAGTTGTGCAGGTCCTCGCAGTGAAGCTGGACAGCGGAAGAGCCRCCTTGGGAACTGGTTGAGTTCCGCTCCACAACTCTCCACCGTTTCAGTAAACTAAGACGGTAGCTGGGGCTCTCAGCTCAGAGAGGATATTCACAGTCAGATGGACCAGGCGGAGTGTCCCACAGAGCACAGTCCCTCCAAGGCAGTGTCCGTGTTGCTAGAGGCAGCTTTGTCCGTCCCTAACCTGGGCCTCTCGCTAGCAGCCTTCGGAAATTCCTCCTCCAAGAATGAAGGCATCAACTGAGAAGGGAGAAGCAAGTTGCATACACTCGAGCAACAGAGTGCACCACTGAAAATTAACACAAACAACTGGCTTATAAGCATGCTGCTACTACTGTATGATGCAAAACTCCAGTGCTCAATATCCAGCTTTATAACCCTCACAGTTCTCTAGAGAGAGAAAACTTAAACAAGTAAAGCATAAAGTGATGTAAGGCTTGCATTTCGGAGTYCAGGGGAACATTTCCCTATATGATGCCAAAGCTTTTTTTTTTTTTTAAAGTTTTTTTTTTTCTTAAAGTTCATTGCATTTAAAAATAAAGATTTTAGTTTTCTTAAAGCTAGAGCATTAGTGTAACAACGAGGCAGCTGCTAAGTGAAGTTTCCCTTTAGGGAGCCCAGAAAAAAAACGTTTCGCCCATTTACCAGACTACTCCCCCCAAGAGCAGAAGGAAACAGTAATAGGAGAAGCCTGGGAGATCACAGAGTAACTGCGTGCTGTGCTCTGAACAGAGCACAGCCAGAAGCTGACACTAAGATGCACTTTAACTGTTCTCCTCCTTTCCATGCTCATAGGGACTTTTTTTTTCCTGTTCAAAGTTATAACAGACAAGGAAAGTTTGTGTTTTCTTCTACAACAATAGCATTTCTGAGCTACCTCGAGGAAACTCCATTTGAAGTGCTCTCCCAAGAGGACAGCACAGTGATACATTTAATCTACAAACTTTAGTGTAAAATATTTGTGTACAAAACTTTTGCATTCTCTTTGACTTGGATCCAGTAGCAGTGTCTTTGAATGGATTATGGGTCTCTCCAGCCTGGCTCTCGGCCCCTTCTTGGGCTCGCATGTTGCTGCTGTTGTGAAGATCTGGGAGGAAGGGGACTTGCTCTTGCGGTCGTGCAAAGCCACGGGGCAGGTCTAGAACGGAGCGTTGTCTTGTGGAGGCTTCTCTCCCGCTCCCGGCGGGGAGGAGAGGCYGTCAGTGCTGTTTTCCCTGCTGCCCACCACTCTGTTCTGAAACGAGAGAAGAGCATTATGTGACCAGGAAACCAGCACTGGGAATGCCAAGTCAATTCCCCTTTGTCAAGGTCACCTCCTGTAGCAAAGACTTCACATATCCGAGAGGCCTTTAGCGTGAACACTAGTCTGCAAGAAAAACACTGCAGAAATCAAGTTTCTGCTTACCATTTAGGCTATGTTTATGAGACAGAGCAGACATTTACCTTTATGGTCCCAACTCTATCTTCAAATGACTTGAAGGTTGCAGAATTCCTTGAAGGAGAGCAAAACAAAAACAAGACAAGTTAGTTCTTAACTAAAATATGCCACATGCTGTGACCAGRCTATCTGGCCCTCCCTGTGCAAGGACAGCAGCACCCAGAACGTTTTCAGCTCTTTACACAGATACCTAGTAGCAAGAAACCCTCACACACCAGGCAAAAACACTGCTCTGAAAAGACAGACATTTATACCACAAGGTTCTACATATTCCAATTTAATTGTTCAAGCTGAGAACTCAAAAGGAAAATAAAACATCTAATTCATTAGGGAGCCAGTGCATAAGTAGAAGAGAAACTTGTCCCTGGTTTTGCAAGGCTTCCAGCTAAGAGGAAATTTTCTTAAATAAGAGAGAAAAAGCTGAAAAGGTCTTAAAGGCTTCAGTTTCCCATATTACATCCTGCTAGGAGGAAGAGGAAGGGCTACAAGGCTACATGCATGAAGCTGTGACTGCTTTATTGCCACTGAAGTGATCATTTGCATCAGGAAATACTYCTAAAACCTCAGCGCAACAAAATGAGCAGATAATTTCATTATTTCTAACGAAGACAGAAGAGCCAGTCGTGTGCCCGTTTGACAGGCTCCTCTGCGGTGAACGATGCCAGGGCAGTGCTCTGAGCTGAGCTTTCAGACCAGGCGGTTATTAAGCACCAGGGGCTGGGAGAAGACTGGCCTCAGCCCAGTTCCTTTTGGAAGAATCACTTGATATCTGTGCCCATAAAATAACCTCTCTCAATCCGAGATACGGATGAGCAGAGAGAGGGATTCAGGGAGCCCGATCCAGTTCTGGCCATGGTTTCTTCTACATGGACACCACCTAGTGCACCAGGAAGCATCCCAGGAAGGGCTCCTCGCTTTTAGGCTGGAGACAAAAGATCYGAGTGTGGATTCATCTCAGTATTAGCAATGGCTGTGCTGCACAGCAAGTGCTGCATCTCCTTCAGGCATTTCTAAAAGCTATGAACTTCAGGCAGACTTTGGCACAGTTGCAACAGAGGTGCTAATAACCATCAAAACAGAGTGAGTAACCACTGAAAAGCCTTGAATTACTCAAGCTGCAGGACACAGTTACCCCGTAATAAGTAGCATCAGCTGAAGTGAGCCAGCTACAGGAGCGAGAACCCCAAACACCCCAGAGGGGCCGGGGCAGCCACACATGCAGCTACCCCCTCCACAGACACGGGCTACGTTACCTCATCGCTGGCATACTTATCGAGTGGCGAATGGAGTAGCTGCTACTCGGAAGCATTCGGGACAAGGAGGAAAAAGACAACAGGTTTTAGCACAGGCATCAAAGCAGCGTATCCCCTGCTTCCTCACACGGCTGCTGGGACACGGGAGGCACACGTGTGATCCTTCTCCTCCCTTGTTTGCACAACCTGCAGCCCAGAACTAGTTCTGCCTCTAAAGGTCTATTAGCGTGAGTCTTCAAAAGCAAAACAAGCAGAATATGAACCCAGTGCATCTTGTAAAGGCTTTCTTAAAGTCTGGTGGATAGATTTGCTTGTGCCAGTAGAAGAAAGCAAATCTCCCATTATACAGTATTTAGAAAAGGGCGTTAAAGCTATGCTCAAAATACAGGAGACACCTGGCCTATGATCCAAGACCTGAGGGCTGGTGATGGGGCACCTCTAGGAGACATAAAATAGGTACAACTGCCTTCACTGCATCAAGTTACTCACAAGCCAGCCTTCCCAGTAAAGGTTTCTTGCCAGTTTTCTTTCCCCAAATTTGGGCTGACAGAACTGCATGAAAACCTGCACCGAGGGCTAACAAAAAAAATCACACTGAACCATAAGCTTTCAAACTGGCAAACTGCTGTAAATTCCTCACGGTCCCATTACACTGGAATTAAGGAARCTGGAGGCTTTACACTTGTGCTCTATTCTCAACCTGTGCTGCAAGYTGCAGCCATGATATAAAGTAATAAGTAAATAAATGCAGATTTGGGTTATGTTTCTCAATTTGTTTCAGAAGCACTGGCAAGCCTCACACAGTCWGCCTCCCCTTTAGTGTCTGCCAGGTAACAAATGCTCTTCTTTCCTTCAAGAGGATCTTACCTAAAAGAATGCGAGAAGGGGTGAGCCCTGAGGAGACCCACGACAGCAGAGGGAGAAAAGAAAAGCAACAGTCAGACACACGGATCTGCAACAATCAGACACTTGCACAAGTCTGATCAGTAAATGCAGGACTGCTAAGCAAGGACATGGTCACCACACACAGGCAGCTACCCAGAAGGCCTCAATTTTTTCATTATCTCAACCAACCCAAGATAAGAGGTTTCTGAGAGGATGAGAACAGAATTTGCATTAAGTTGGAACACGGATATTGAGGTGGGGAGGGAAAAGGAGAAAATCCTACTCATCATCCCGAGCCACTGCTTTCATCTGAAGCTTTAAAGCACTTTTTCCTAAACTGAGGTTTTGTCTTTTACCAAATTAGCTGAATAAGGCATCTTGTCTGCCTCCCTATCCCCCTTAGAAAAACAAATAAAAACCCCATAGCTGTTGTTTAAAAGAGAGCCTTGCTAAGTCTGCTGGTTGAGAACCTCCTCACCAAGAGCCACAWGGACACCTGCAGGTCACCTGGCCAAGCCTGCAGGTCCTAAAGTTAATTTGAAAACAAAAACAACAACAAGATCTTGGCATGAGAAAGATAAGAACATATGAATGGAAGGTAGGATAATTATCCCACAACCCAAGTGCTGATTGCCCGTTTTTAGGTTCCAAGGCTAAAAGGAAGCCACCAGATTTCCATGCCTGATTTTGCAATACAGTAGATCTCAGTAGTTCGAAATAACAGACCAAACTTTTCTATTCAGAAAATAAGAAATTGCCAAGCTGGTCTACAGGAGCCTTCTCAGCTGGAAACAGTAGTGTTTTTTTCCCCCCACTTCAAAATCATTTTTGTTTCCACTGGAGGAAGCAGTCGTGGCAAGTTGGACGCGAAGCACTTGGCAAGGAGCACAAGGGCCCTTCCTTGCAGCTAGGGCAAAGACATTAAACACGGTGATTTCATTTCCCCATCTACTGCAATCAGCTCCTTGGCTGCACTGACTTTTACTGCTGTCTTTGCATGCAATGTAGAAGTCAGCCTTCTCCTTGCTCTTGCTTACAGGGAAGGAACACAAACAGCACRTGCCCATGCACCGTGCTACTCTGCAGGCAATTCTGCAAGCAAGTGTGCTCAGGTTCCTGACCTGGAATTAACAGCTACCTGTTTCTTTTCATGAAATTTAAAGTTTACACAAATTCAGGAAACAGCAGCCACCTTTGGGACTCAATATTTTATAATGAGCTTGCTTGTAGTATTACGTACAGTAGCACACTGGAGACAATAAGAAAGGTACTGGCGGCACAAAACCATGAAGCAAGCTGCCAGCACATCAAGAGAACACACTTGCAATTTGCARGTTAGTGAAGTTAGTAAGATGTAGTAATAATGTCTAAAAGACAATTTACTTTAACTGCAAATAGAGATAACAGAAAAGGCTGAACTGGTCAAAACTTGAGAAAAAAATCAATACATTAATTAAGATGCCCTTCTCCCCCCACCATGGCAATCYAACAGAGCAATCATTTTAATACACTTAGCACAGTAATCACAAAATCACAATTTCTCCTTGCAATCAGCAGCTATAACATCTGAGGGTTCTGACCAGAATAAAGCACTCTGTTATAGATTTAGCCCAAAGATAACTTACTTTCATTTCATTTCCATAGCACTTCTGCCAGGGCAGTTTTAATGGAATTATGACCACGCCCTGTGAATATCTGAGGTGTTTGTCCCCTTCATCATCCCTTCCTTGCATTTATCAGCCGGTGAAAGCTGACTAAACAAGGAAATCCTTTCTGTTATCTCAACACTTCCAGTGTTGGAAAATAAACCTTCTTTACAAGTGAATTTGTAGTGTAAGAGGAAAAAGTACAATAACACCACAGATTAGCGCAGGCCAGGAGGCCCAGGASTGAGATTCTCCGAGAACACATATCATCCCCATCCACCCAGAGAAGTGATCACAACAATAAAACAGGCTTCACTCCTGTAATCTCTGATCACATATGAAAACACCATTTACAGTTTCACTTGGCAGGAGCAAAACACAGAACAGCTCCTGTGCAAGTTTATGCTCAGAAGTTAAACTTCATTCAGAATCAGAAATATCAATGCTTAAATACAACAGAGAAGACAGCAAGATCATATATCAGAAAAAAAAAATTGAAAGCCTTCTTAAAAACCACTACTCTGTTCCCCCACAGGACCACACAGATGAAGCAAATCCCAGTGAAATAACTTTGTTAGGAACCACCTCAGTTTATCAATACAACAGAAGCTGCCTCTATTTACTATTACCTCCAGGGATGTAATAGTTGTAGAAAGGAATACGGGTGTTTAAGGGAGTGCTTAGGCTCCTGGTGCAGAGGTCTGATGTGTATGTTATCAGCCAGGCCAGCTCTGTCACCAGGAGGGGCAGTTCTGCTCCCCACTTGGCCCCACATCCCCTCCCTCCCTTCCTCGCTCCTGGGATAGCACCAGCACTTGTGCAGCTGCAAAATAAAGGGGATTCCAGCAGGCCGACAACAGGCAGGACCAGGGCTGCCAGAACAGCTGCTTCTGGTGGCGAGACCAATCCACAAATTCCCTGTTTGGTCCCAAAGGACCAGTTCTCATGCCCTGGCTACAACAGTCCAAGCAGGCTGCAGAAGGCAGTCACCAATTTTTGCCACTATCAGCTTAGGAAAATGTATTATGAGCGCATGTTGCCAGGGTCTATCCATTAGTGGCTCAAGTGATTGTATATAAATCTCTTTTTTTCAGAGGAGAAAGTGTTTTTCAGAAAAGAAAAAGTAGATTTTGAATACAAAAAAGGCTATCAGACAACCAGCTGGCTTCCTAATTTCAGAGAAAGTAAGCTATCAAAAACATTTAGCAGTATTTGCATTCCAGAAACCAGTAACTTCCTGACAGAGGACAGATTTAGAGTTTCAGTACTATGTGATCAGAGACCAACAAATTCTTACCACTTGGATACTCCCAGCCACAGTGGAAGGGGAAAGTCCCTACAAGGAATGACAACTGCCTGTTCAATCCAGGATCAGGCACATCRTGTTAAATACAAGCTCCAAGAATGCTTCCTTAATAATACAGACAGTTCTTACATTAAAAATTAGCTCTCAATTTTGAGGAAAAGTGTGGGAAGTATTTTGCATGAAAGCCTTTGACGCTACTATTAATATGAAAACAGTCTTCAGCTTAAACTCCCAAATGGGATAAGTTACCAGCACTACCATTAAGCTTTGTATGACTGAGAAACTCATAGGGAAAAAACCTCAGCCAGAGCTGAGGAGTTTTTAGATGCATTTAATATGCCCTAAAATCTGATGTACAGAACCACAGAGAAAGTGGTGTTCCATCAACAGGAAAGTGCTGCCAATCAGGTAGAAAAGAAAAGAAGCAGCCTAGCTACTGCCTGCACTCTCAAAACCATWTAAATCACACAAACCAGGATCTTACCTCATGTCGCCAAGTTTCCTGCTGATAACAGAACCTACATTGGAAAGGGCTGCTGAAGTCTTCTGTCCTGCCTGGGACAGGGTTTCCTGGGTCTTCTTATAACTAAGGAGAAGAAAAACATTAAGCTGAACGCACACATAGTATCTGAAAGCACCCCATCATTTTGAGAAAGGAACCCACATTACAGGAGAGAAGCTAGGTTAGTGGGCTGCACTGTCCACACTGAAAGAGCCTGTTCCAGTCTTGCACATATTCAGAGACCAAGTGTTAAGGCAGCAAGTATAGGTTTAACCTTTCCATACATTCACTTCAGCTATTTCACCATTTTAGCTTTACATGTAAATCTCATGGTGGGGGGGGGGAATCTCAATTTTCCACATGGAAATTACACATCACAGCATCATACTCCATTTTTTCAATAATGGCATTTTGATTGCCTTGAAAAAGCGAGTCACAGAACCTATTCCTGAAGCYAGAGCACTTGCTATAGCGTTAGGAAATGGAGGAAAGAGGCAAGGCTGACTTTAGTGTCTAGAAAAGAAACGCAGAAGTGAGCATTACCTCTACAGCTGCAGATTAGGATTGAATTGGGAGGGAATTTCCCATCAGTTACCATTAACCACAGCAAGTCTGACAGCTTGTACTTGCTAGCTGGCTACATCTGAGGAGTTTATACACGAAATAGGTAAGAGACTTTTTAGAGCCTTTGTTTCCTTCAAATAAGACAGTCTAAGAACTAAGATTCTCTGAGCCTTTTTCATCAACTCATCCTCTCTAAGCTACTCTTCATTTTGTGTTTAATATCTAGATTTATGGCATTCTTCAAATTATAAAATACTCAAACAGGAAAACAAGCCCAGCAACTTAAACCAAATCTTTTTTACTACACATAACTAGGCTTGAGTTTTGTTTGTTTTTGAATATCCATTAGAATTTGCCCACTCTATTAAGAGAAGGGCATCTAAAAATGACCTAATTTTCACATGTCAACTCCTGAGGCCAGAAGCAACACACCTACAGCCAACTTAATCCTTTAAGTCTCATCCTCTACAGGCATGAGTGCAGGCGACAGCACCTGACCTGGATTTGGGCAAGAATACTAATACATCTAATACACTGCGCCTTTTTTTTTTTTTGGTCACTTTTTAGACTTAGTTTAGTGTTTCTGAATCATGAATGTACACGAGACTTGTGCTGAACAGGGCAAAAATGCATCAGCTTCACTACCACATCTCCTGCTGCTGAAGGAGGTCTCTTCATTCCTATAACCTGGGCACTTCCTAGACTAATTCAGTGACCCCCACAGAATCCTTAGGTTATGTTCAGACAGCAGAAACTCAACCCTGCTTCTTCACAGCAAGATGTTTAGTGAGAAGTAGTCATCTTGAGACAGCTGGGGCAAGGCAGGCACGAATGCTGCTTGCTCACTGACAAACTTTCCTATCACAGTTAAATCCTCAGGGCTTCTTTGGAACTTCTATCCCTCCCATTTAGCAGGCAGGCTCCTCTCTGGCACAGGCTGCCAAACTATCACAGGATAGGATTTAAAATTGTCTAGCAGGAACRGCTAAGACCTTATGCTCATTAAAATACCTTGTGCTGACTATAGCCAGGGAAAAACAGCTTGGCATTCAACTCTCCTTGATCAGCATCACGTACTAAAGCAGTGATAAGAGGAAGAGTTTACAGAATCAAATGACACCGCCACCCTGCACACACAGCACACTGGGGTGTTAGGCCTAGCTTCAGCAGATAAAGGTGGGAGAGATTTCCCAGCTGTTAGTCCACACTTGACAGCACTATTTGTAAGTCAGCTGAAGATGACCTAGCACTCAAGTGTTGTTCCTTCTGCCCAAGTGTGCTCCTTCATGATGCCAATACCACTGTTTGTGCTGACAGATTTAGATGGAGGAAATGATCCAGATGAAATATGCTTGGAAGGAAAAAAAGGAAGGAAAAAACCAAAAGCAGCTGCCAGATCAGATCCCTAGAGTGGTTGTTCAGTCACAGCTCCTCTCCACACACATGCACACACCTCACCAGTGCAAGGCAGGAGGCAGAGCCAAGGAAACGCAGCCGAGGAGAGAAGCTGTTTCACCTAGAGGTGCCATCAGGGCATGCATGTGGAAGTGCATTCAGGACAGCCAGGTCCATCAGACTTCAATGCAACTTCACTACAGCCACCTCTCACCGCTCCTTCCCTCTCTTGCCTCTCTAGTATTTATTGAGTTTTAGACAGGAAAGTGGTAGCTGTTTTCTGAAAWGCTACTTGAATCTTACTTTTCTTACCCTTACCTCTTCATTTTAATCGGCATCTGCTTTGTTAGTGTGACTTGCCACTGTCTAGTGCCAAAGCAAGCAGGAAAGCTAGAGCACCACCACTGATCAGGCCTTTAGCACGCAACAGAACCTATTTTTCTTGCATTTATCTTGCATTTATTCTACCTATTTTTCTTGCATTTATCATTAAAAAAACAAGGAAACAGATATGACAAAAAGTCTTCTATCCCAGCAGTTACACCCAAGGAGGAGCTATGATTAAAAACTGCCAGAATCATGTATACAGTCGTCAAGGATAAAGGTCATTTGCTATTTAGCAACAGCAACACTTAACATCTTTTTTTAATCCAGAAAACTTACTCTGAACCTGGAAGGTAGAACTTGCATATGTGAAGGTCTTTCTGACACTCCTGCTTCCTACTTGTGCCCACCTTCCATCACTGTTATGATGAGGGCCCTCCACATACACACGCTGCCAGCAGCAAGCCTCAGCTCCCGGCTGCCTCTTGAACGCTCAGATTAGAAGACTGAATTTCATATCCAGTACAAACTGAAAAATTTGGCTTACCAAAGCCCTACACATACAATGGTTTCGGTGAATTCAGGAAATGAAAACGCTACATGGTTGCCCCCACTGCATTATTGTTGAGAATTCCCCTATACATTGTGGGAAAGATGCAGTGAGAAGGACAAAGGCCATAATGTCTTTCTAGGTGAGAATTTAATTTCAGGCCTTTAGCAARAACATGACTAAGACTGTATATATTAAGAAAGTAGTAGTATAACAGCTGACAGGTTTAAGCTGTTCAAAGTCCATTTGGGGCTCCAAAGTGACAGAACAGCTGCCTTGGGCACTGAAGYATTCGTTGAGCACAAATAAAGGAGAAGGGAATAAAGTTCCCACTCCCCACAGAGAAACTTGGTTGCATGTTGAGGGGTACAAGAAGAGTCCCATCTACCCCAGAGTTTGTCAGCTAATGTTATAAAACAGGGCACGCAAGTGTCAGGGACTCAGTGGCTCCTTCCAGGAGCCCCACGAGAGCAGGCAGCCATTTGAAGAGGATGTCTTAGACCACAGTGAAGTTCTTTAAATACCGACCTGAGAAAAGGCTGCTTCTCACCCAGGATACTCTTATCGATTGAAAAAAAAAAATAGTGAAGGCTTGAAAAAAACTTTAGATAGGACTAGACAAAGCAGAGAACTGTGAGCAAGGGCAGAGATAGAGGCAGCAGGCTGTCATGAAAGCATTTGTTAATGCTGAAGGTTAAGACACTCACGCTTCTGATTGAGTTATTTTTTCATTCCAGTCCTCCAGTGTGCTGCTGGCTGAAAGATATCTACAAACACAATGGAGGTTAGACACAGTGCTAAGATTCAGGACAGATGCTTCTTTTGACACTTTCCACATTATTAGTCCATCTTTATATCTAAGGCATCATAAGTTTTATTTCAAAGACCAATTTCCCCCCCAAGGTCAGAGGGAAAAGAGCTGTTGTTTGAAAGGCAGGAAGACACCTGAGCCCTGGTTTCTTCCCTATTTAAGCACACTCGAGCACTGAGCACAAAGCAAACTAGACCTACAGTTTAAAAGAGGCCAAGATTTTTCCCATGAAAGAGTTTTTAATGACCTCTTCCCTCCCTATACACTATACTTTAGCTACGTACTAAAAAGCACAGAGCAGTGAGCTGAGCACAACATTAAAAATCTGACTGTCACACCCAAATCTGCATCAACACAGCATGACCTGGACACACAGAGGCAGCCGGAGGGGACGATGGATGTCAGGCAGTTCCTGCCACTCTGGAAGTGTTAATATCCCTCATTAGGCCAGAGCCAGTTATTTTGCCTATTGAAGAAAATCTTCCAACCCACATCCACTTTCAGCTAAATTAGCATCTCCTTGAACACAAAATGCTGAAGGGAAAGAACCCTCAGCTCAGAAAGGATTCAAGATCTCCTTGACATTTAAATACACACAAATCAAAACWACACACGTCTAACATGAATTGAGGGCTAATACAACTAAAGAATGTATTCTACCAACAAAAGTAACCAAGCGTTTTGCCCACACTTAGCACCCGCTTGCGTGTACTGCAAAGACTCAAATTCAGTGCTGTCAGAAAGGATCACTCTTATCAATCCAACAGAGTCCCTGTGGGGTAACTTCCACATATCTGCACAGCCCATGTTTTCAGCTACAGTTGAACGCCTTCAAAGACCTTCTCTCCCCTCACGACCATACAGAAAGCCAGTTATCGAGGTGATTGCTACCACATCTGGTGAGGAAGGGAGAAACAGCTTCACAGTATAGAGATAGAGGTCCAGTGAAAAGACATCTGATAACAGACTAGCCTAAAAAACACGAGTTAAAAAAATTGCAGCTGTTTTTTGTTTTTTTAAATATTAAGTGTGGTCTGGTAACTGATTGGGATTTTTCTTCTGCAGTGGGGAGTCTAGCAGAGATGAAAGCAGGAGGTTTTGTTCATCTCCTCCACAAGTGAGGGATGTTTATAGCTGAAGTCAGGCATGCCACCAGTAACAGTGCTGACTCCAGCTTCACCATCCCTCCAGCTCCAAGTCACCCCTGATGCCTGAAAGGACAAGAAGCAGCACGAACTGGGGAAGGAGCAAGAAGGTGTTGCTGGGGAGCCCAAGGCACTCACAAGTCAGATTGTGTCACTTTCTCATTCCACTCTCCAAGTTTCTCAGATGTTTTCACATAACTAGAAACAGAAAGTATTAATGAATATAGTTTCTTGGAATATTCATTTTTAGAAGACAATGACAGATTTAAGTTACAAAGGAGTAACAGAAATCGGGCAAGGAAGGGGAAGGGAGATGAGGAAAAGAAAGAACAAACAGTGAGATGGACAGCTCACAGATCTGCCCTGCAGTAGCACTGCCAGCAATTCCAGACTGCACCTGAACAGCACAAGACTATTCAGACTGAACCAATCTGTGGATATGGACAACCTCACACTTGGGCACAAACACAGCATTAAACTTACCTCTTTCACTSTCCTACTGTCTAACTTCCAATTTTCTCAGAGCCAGGATGCTTGCGTACTGCACTCCTAATACAAGTATTGTATATTTTTGTCCCAGGGTGTGTAGACTTTTTAATTCAAGCTATGCATCCTAGGAAACATCCCCAAACTAATATTATGTAGTGCTCAAGTCCTACTTTTTGCTTCTCTCTAAGCCTGAGCTCAGAACAGAGTAGTAGCAGCTGCAGAACTACCAGTAACAAGGAGACAGAGCTGTTCTGTTCAGGGGTGACCTAGATCTAACTTCCCCGTAAAGAACATTCTGCAGCCACTCATCGAGACTACAGACATGAGCTCTGCTCACACTGACATAAGGACACTGACATGCAGAGCCCACAAAACAACCACATTGATTTGTTCTCTACTTACCCACCACAGCCAAAGCCTCCAGGCACGTGGAAAAACCCTGGATTGCAATGCCAGGAAATAATTTCTATAGAGTTACATTTACATGCACACCTGGTGACACAAACACTTACGCATTGGAGACTTGCACATCGTGCCAGCTTTTCGACAGGTTTTGCTTTAACCCATCCAAGGGAGTCAAACCTAGTTTCCTCTTCAGCTCTCCGCAGTGCCTCTCTTTAGCAGCCAGAACTTGTCTGAGGGTACCAATTTCTTCTTCCACCTTGGAGAGAGGCACAGGCACATCTTAATGTCACAGCTGGATAAAGGTCTAAAAGTTACATGAAACCTTCCCCTTGGAAACGTGAAAGGTTTGCGCTGGGTGTCCCTGCTGGAGCAGGGGGTTGGACTAGATGAACTAGCAGAACTCAGCCCAAGCATYGCAGTTTCTGCACTAACAGCAGAAATTATCTCAAGACAGGTACCAAATACTTCTTTTTAACTAAGGTTTATATTCTATAATTATCTTCGTCTGAAATCATTAAAACTGTTTTTCTCCTCTGTTTCTGGTAGGTCATACAGGTCTCAGTAAGTTGTAGTTAAATAAACTGGAAATAAGCCTTCTCTCCCGACAAACAACATTTTCAGCACCCTTAAAGCACTCGAAGATACAACCGGTTTCAGTTGCTTCTATAATTTTCTTCATCTGACATCATTAAGAACAGAAGAAGAACTGAAACTGTTCTCTATTATGATTTGGAAAGAGGAGAGGAAAAAAAAATCTAAAATCTACGTGCCCTAATTTTATGGCATTGCCTTACAAAGGCTGAGCATTTCAGCAGGACATAGGCAAGAAAGAGTTCCCTAAAAATATCTGAAATGGGGGAAAAAAAAAAAAAAGAAGAAGAAAAAGCACATCCTAAGCAGACCATAGTTTCAACTTCCTACTAAGCAGCACTTATTTTGCATACCCCCCACCTGAGGGGTTTCCTCAGGCCAACTAAAGCCCGGTTTAGATGTACAGCGTGAAAAGCCACCGGCTTGCTCACGGGYCTGAATGAGGGGCGGTTCCGGGAGGAGCAAACCCGGCACGCGCAGCAGGGCCAGCTCGGCCCCGGGGACCACGGGGACGAAGGGAGAGCTCCACCACGACACGGAGACGCCGGCAAAGGCGCGGGGAGCGCCGCGCCGSGCCGGGCCGGGCCGSGCCGCTACCTTGGCCAGCTCGGAGCGCAGCTCCTCCTCCTCGGCCGCCGAGAGGCCGTCGGGCGCGGGGGGCCGCGCGGCGGCGCCGTCCACGGGCACGTCGCTCATGGCGGCGGAGAGGAGGCCCTTGTTGGGCGAGTTCAGGTTGATGTCTGCGGCGGACAAGAGGCAGAGCGTGAGCGGCACCGGGGCTCGGCGGCTCCGAGCGACGGACGGGACCGCGGTCCCGCTCCCCGGTCCCGCTCCCSTGCCCCACTTCCCGGTTCCGGTTCCACTTCCCGGTTCCGGTGCCGGGCCTACCCTGGCTCGCGCTCTCCATGGCAGCGCCCGGGCCCGCGGAAGAAGCCGCCGCCGCCGCCGCCGTGACGCACTTAGCGCCGCGCCCGCTTCCGGGGCGGCGCGCGGGGAGCGCGTCACCCTCCGCGTCGCCATGGCGACAGCGCCACGTCCCGCCTCTCCCGCCCGCCGGAAACGTCCGCGGGGGGGGGTGTATGACGTCAGCGCAGGGCGCTGGGAATGACGTCATGACGTGGGGATGGGTGTGACGTCACCGAGGGATCAGGAGGGGTGGGCGGCTCCTCCGTGTTCAGCAACACGTGGGGCTGATGGGGCCTGCCGTGGGGCAGGGGGCCCTGTGTGGGTCCTGCTGTGGGGCCCAGGGTCCCAGTGGGGCCCAGGGCTCTGGGTCCTGCTGTGGGGCCCAGGGTCCCAGTGGGGCCCAGGGCTCTGGGTCACCCTGTGGGGCACAGGGTCCCAGTGGGGCCCAGGGCTCTGGGTCGCCCTGTGGGGCACACGATCCTCCGTGTCGCCAGGCCCCGCCGTGGGGCTCGGCCTCCGCGGCCGCCGTGGGGCCTGCCGCGGCCCCGGTGCCGTGCGCGCGTCCGGAGGGAAGGTGGCAGCACGAGCACGGCCGTGCCGGCCCCGTCCCCTCCTGCCGCTGCGGAGCAGCCCGGCTCCGGCGCTGCCGGCCGCAATCCGGCCGCCCTGCAGGATCGGGGCGCCCGGACATCCCGGCTGCTCCCGGAGCCTCGCGCCGACCCGGAGCCACCACCCGTCAGCCTCGAGGGCCACGTGTGGCCAACAGCTTCGCCCCACGCCACCAGCTTCCCCATGCAGCCGAGCGGCCGCTCCAGAGCCAGATCCGGCTGTGCTCCCACCCGGCACCGTGCACATCCCTCCCGGCCCCGCGATCCCGCAGGAGCGAGGCTGGCCCTGCTGACCATAGTGCCACAGGGATGAGTGGCACCCTGTAACACGGAGGTGCCGCTTGGGAACACGATCCCGGCTGCTTTTCCTCCCCGMCATCCCTATCCCAAAAGTTAAGAGCTGTGACCCCATATCCCTGCATCCCAGTGTCCCCCTCTGCCTTGCACGTCCTTCCTCCAGACGGGTATTTCCCACCCCCAGGTACAAAACAGCCCAACTTTGCTTTCGGAGGGGCTGGATTCGAAGCCTCGGCTGCTGCCTCTGTTTCGGGAACGCTCGGTGGTCAGGATGCGCATCCCCTTGGAGCGCCGTGTCCGGCAGCGCGTGCCGGACGCCGCGCAGAGGAGCTGCAGGAAATGCCCTTTCTGGGGCACCGTGGTTCATCTGGGACCGGGAGCCAGTCCCCGAGGCTGCAGAGCCGCCCCGCGCATCCCRGAGGTTCTGGGCAGGAGCACGGGGAGGGCTGGAAGCTCTTGGACACCTCCCGTGCTGGAGCCTCAGCGCAGCCTGGTGCTCAGGCCGCGGAGCAGGAGAGCCCGAGGCTGAGCTGATCCGGCCCGCGGGGTGCCGCCCGCTCCCGGCAGGCCCTGCCGGCATTCCCGGCTGCCGATCCCGCCGCGCTCGGGCGGGTGCCTCTGCTCTGCTGGAGCGGACAGAGCCTGGGCTCGGTGCCCCCGTCAGCGAGAGCCCTGACCTAGATTTCGGCTGCGGAGCCGCAGGCGCCGCTCTGGCCGGCGCTCCCGCGCGCCGCGCTGTGCCGTGCGGAGCGGGGGCACCGGGAGCGGCGAAACGCCGCCCCAACGCGCGTGTGCGGGAACCAGCCCTCCCCGTGCATCCCTGCGCTCCCCGCGCGTGGGAAAACGTGCGGAGCATGGAGCAGAGCGGCTCTGTGCGGGCTGGCCCACGAGCGCCTTGGCGGCTGGAAACGCCGGCTCCGCTTTTCCGGAGGCGCCATGGGCAGGAGCGGCGCGGGAGCGCGGCCGGCACCGGCCCCGTTGCCCTTTGCCGGTGTCGCCACCGCCTGATGCCACCTTCCTCTTTCAGGACACCCAAAATACCCCCGGCGGAGGGGGGGCAGCGGGGTCGGCGCTTCCGCTTTCGGAGCAGCCGCTGGCAGGGAACRGATGGGGAGGCTCCGACGGGTCCACACGGATGGGATGGAGGGAGGCRGCTGTGGGACCACTGGGATGTACCCAGAGATCCTGGATTGCCACTGTCCCCTCTGGATGCACAAGCCACGTGGCCATGGGACACGTTCCCAACATGGCACTGGTTCAAGGATGGGTTTTAGCTCCTTCCCCTCCCGCTCGGGCCAGCTCAGCRCCTGCGTCTGCACCCAGAAACAGGGCCCCAGTTTGGCCGTCGCTGCCGCAGCTCCTTTGAGCTCCAAAGCAGCTCCTGGTGCTGCTCGGGGATTGCCGGATTCACGGCGCCCATCAGCATCAGCGGAGCCRCCGGCACTTCCATCGCGGTGCCGGGCTTCGCTCCTCGCCTGCACCCAGGTGTTGTTGGCCACCCCGCGCTGCTCGGCACCGGGAATCCCCGTCCGTGTCGGGCAGAGCTGCTGGTGTCACCACTTTGTGACAGAGCAGCTGCTGTCACCGCTCTGGGGCAGCCCCAAGGGCTGCGGGAGCCGCAGGCGCTGCCGGCACGGCCGGGAACCCCCGGCACAGCACCCACGGAGCTCCAGCAGGGTTGCGAGGTGCCCACGGGTGCTCCTGCCCCTGCTCCTGCTCTGCTCCTGCCCCTGCTCCTGCCCCCGCTCCCACTTTTGCTCCCGGCTCTGCTCCCGGCTCTGCTCCCCCGCACACCGCGGCCCCGGTGCCCGGAGCGGCCGGGACCCCCCTCGCTGCGTCACGGAGCCGGGTCACGGAGCAGAACCCGACAGGCCCCTCGGGAGGCTCTCGCTTCCTCCCCACGGGGCCAGATGTGCCCCAGATGTGCGGGGACGAGCGCTGTGTTCAAGAGGAGAAACCTGCCTGGCACCCGGCACGGCGCGGCCGGGCGGGACGCGGCCTCCGGCGCCCCTCCTGCCAGGAAACGRGCTGGACGCGGATCCACCTCCTCCCTGCCTGCGCTCCCGTTTCCCCGGCTCTGCCCAGGCTGCTCCCAGGCCTGTTTCCCATCCCGCTAACCTCACCTTGGGATGCATCCAGCACCATCTGCCGCTTGCAACCCCCCCCCGCGCCCTAAGCTGCTCTAATCCCCCAATCCTATCTGCGTCCCGCGGGCGGCGGAGCTCGCGCCCGGCGTGCCGGAGCGCCCGGCTCGTCCCGCCTTTCCGGGCTGCTGGAAACGGCAGCGCCCACCCGGAGCGCCCCGCTTTGCCCACTGCGCCTTTCACTGTGGGAAAACACGGAATGCAAAATCCTCCCGGACGTTCTGGGGATTTTTCCAGCTGGGAATTAGGGGCGGTGGAAGCGGCTGGCACGGGGTCTGGTCCCATGTGGGGGGGTCGCAGGGGGCTGAGGTGCCCGGGGGTCCTGGGGGCTGCGGGAGGGAAGGCAGCCGGCGGGAGAAGGAAGGAGAGGGGGACGAGGTGGGAGAGGAGGCAGCGGCGCAGGGAGGCGCCGGGGGAGGCTCCGCGGCGCRGGAATCGCAGGGAGCTCTTCCCGGAGCACGCGGGATGCGGGGGGAGCAGAGGAAGCGGCGCCGGCAGCTGCGGCACATCTGGCAGCGCCGGGGTCCCCGGGCCGGCCGGGCGGCGCTTCCTGCCCGCCCCGGCGCTGCCAGATGCTGCTCCCGCTCGGCCTTGGAGTGCCCACGGGATCCAGCCCCGCTTCCGCCCCCGCGCTCTCCTCCGGGATGCGTCCGGCACCTGCTTCCAGCTCCGTGCCTGCTCCTGCTTCTCCCAGGGCCTCGCTGTCCCTGTGRCGTATCCCGCGGGAAGCGCGGCGCTGCCACCCCGCTGCCCCCTGCCTTGGGTGCTTCCCAGCCTTCCCCTTCCCGGATGCCGCCCGCCCCGGGAGCTCTGTGCCCTGGAAAACCCTTGGCCTCCTTGGATGGGGCCGCCCAAGGCGGCGCAGCCCCGGGAAGGGAGCATTCCCGATCCCGCYGCCCTGATCCCGGCGCTGGCAGGGATGGGCCCGCGGGAGCCAGCTGGAGAGGCGGCTCCCACCGCCCAGCCCTGCCTGCCCCGCATCCGCCGGGATGCGGCGTTGAAGGGCTCCGGAAGCGCGGAGCTGCCTGCTGCACGGCTCTCCAAAGAGCCAGGTAYGGTCAAAAGAAAAGCAGGATTAGACACAGGCGGGAAAATAGAGCCTCCTTTCTTAAAAATAGCTTCCTGGGATTAAAAATAGCCCCATCCCGGCCCGCCATGCTCCGTCCTCCCTGCTGGATGGTGGATCCTGGCGCTCCCGGAGACATCCGGCAGTGCCGCGGTGCTCCCACAGCTCCTGCACCCATCCGTGGGCCATGACCGGAGTCCGGGTGGCCTCCAAATTCCCAGTCCCAAACTGGAAGCCGGAGCAGCAATGCTGCCCGGAGCAATTCCCAGCGGTGCATCCCAGAATCCCAGGGCAGTTTTTCCTTGCAYGCTCCATGTGCCATGGAAGGGGATGGGATTCCCAGCGCTGCATCCAGCCTGTCCTCGGGACAAGCCATGGAAAAGCCAAGCATGGAGCTGTGCGGATTTCCATGGGAGAGGCGAGGGGCAGCACTGCTCCCAGGGCGCCGGGACCCTCCGTGAGCCGCTGCCATTGGAAAATCCCAGCCCGGAGCAATGCCGGGAGCAGGGCAAGGCTTGGAGCAGGGAGCACTTCCTCTCCCGGCGGGAGCACTATGGATGCGAGCTCACGACAGGGTCGCTCTACCAGGAGCAGAAAGAGAGAATAAAGGTGGAAAGAGCTTGGGATGAGCGGGAGCAATTAAAACCAAGGGAAAAACCCGCCTCTAATCCCGGGGATGCAACGGGAGGACGAGGAAAGCTCTGCAGCCTAGGCCACAATCCCAGCGGGATTTATCCATGGGCAAATTGCATCTCCTATTCCCTACCACGCTGAAGGCTTAATACAGGCAGCGCGCCGAGGGGGATTTTCCCTGGCGCTTCCTTGCTCCCGGTAGCGACAGGGCGCCTGTCCCGCGGGAGCGGAGGCTCCCGGAGCAGGGACCGCTGCCCCGCTTCCAAAAG